CCAAATCTAAGAGTCATCTCGATTCTTTTTCTCAAAAAACTACTTTCGCAGAATATATATCGCCTGTTCAAATCATTCAAGAGAAAATCACCGATCTCTCTAACTTATTACCAAAGAGTGTATCATCATTGCACACTCGCATCATCCAACGACTCGATTCCAAAGCCTTAAAGCTTGCCTGTAAGCTGAACACCATGGTGCACGTCACTTGGAGGCATCACATGGGGATCTTTCCTTCCTCTCGAATAAACCTGACACAGAAGCCGCAGATTTATCGAAAGGGGGGGGTCACTTTGCCCTGTCATATCGAAACATCCTTGCGAAACCTTCGAATTCAATCCTGAATCACGCGAGACGAGGAGCGCGGAGATCGTGGCTGCCTCTCGTTTCCAGGCTTTATGCTCGTTTGCTAATCCCATCCGGGGTTTAACCGGCTTCCAGTTGAACGTTTTACGTAAATCAACGGTTTCCCTATCGGGCGGAAAAGTTTATTAGGGTGAAACAGTTCGGTTTGCTTTTCGACGGATAAAGGTTCGTTGTAGGCGATCGTGTTATTATTCCGCCAAGTGTTCGATCGAACTTTGCGTGGCTGGCCGATATTTTACTGAATTAATAAACCATGTTACGTGTAATTTGTTTGTTGGCGCTCAAGTAGCGTCGAAGTTCGAGGGAAATTCAAAGTGGAAATTTCGTTGTGCAAAGATGATTAAGTAAGTTGGGGTTGGAATTCTTGGAATATCGGAATTGCAGGGATTAAAAAATTTAATGGTGCTTTCTACTTTGATAATAAAATATTGATGAATATTTTTTAAAATTTTTTAATTATCGAAAATCCTCCTAAATATCTAAATTTCTAAAATTTAATTTCTAAACAAAATGTTGCACAATGAGATATAAAAAGATAAACACGTGGAAGGAATTAACCAGGATAGCCCAATATCTTCTTATTACGAATATTGGCTCGTTATCAGGTGTTTGTTATACGTCTGACGTTTATTAGGCGTTTCTTAATTAGATCCCTCGTAATAGGCACACGGAAACAATTAGGTCTTGTTCTACTAGTAATAGTTTGGACGTGTCGGAGACATTCTCAGTAACAATATTGGCTGCTGATTCGAACTGCTCCTAATTCTATTGATTTTCGCTTGTATTTAAAACAAAATTGATCATCTATAATAAATTCGTATGCATAATAATAACAGTTTTATTAATTCTAAATTGTTATCTTATTTGAAACAATTGTAATAATCAATTGGTTAATCATAGGAATTTCTATAAATTAAATTTATATTTAATTCTCTAATTTCCTTGTACCTGCATAAACACAACGAAATATCGATTTTTTTATTATGAAGAAAGAGGAAGCTGAAAATTTTCTTTGTTACAATCATTTATTAAAATGAAGAAAATATATATTCGCAGAAAAAATTAAAAAGTTTTACCGAAATTTCTCCCGACTCGTGGAATAAATAAGAAACGAAAAATAACTTGGATAAAAACACTGCACGTCGGATTAAACAAATCCACAATGCCACGAGCTCGTCAAGGGAACAAGAATGTACCAGCTGTTTTCCGTCAAACTTTTTACTGGATCAACGTGGATCACCCAAACCGGACATTTCTTCTTTCCAACTTATTCGAGTCCGTGTAAAAAAAAAAAAAAAA